GAAGATGCAACCTTTCACTATTATCTCAACAAGTGAAAGGCAAATATTAATAATACTAATTCTATCTTTGTTAACTTTGATACTTTTGCTCAAGAATTACACATGCTTTTCAATTATCAAGATAATTTAAACAAACTTCACCAAACTGATATAGTTCAAGAATATAGTACCAAGTTCAAAAATCTTGTTGAACAAATAAAAATTTAGATCAAATCATTTACTTTATTGATGAATTAAAACCAATAACAAAAATAAAAATAAGTTATCAAGCACCAGAAAATTTGGAAGATACAGGAAAATTAGTTATTAAATATAATATAGCTATATTTAATACTAGTAAATCACTCAACAATAACTTTTCTCACAAAGTACTATTCAAAAGAACTCTATAATTCAATTATAATAATACATTACATAACTCTATAACTATACTTATGAAATTGGATTATGCTAAATAATTCAAGAAAAATTTTACTTTTAATAATTTCAATAATAATAAAGTCAAAAATAATTGTTATAAATATGGCAAACCAGGCAGATTATTTTGCTAAAAATTACTATTTAAAAGGCAAGACAAGAATGAATAATATTGAAAAACTTGCAGAAACTTCTACAAAATAACAAAATGAAAGAGTAAAATTCACTTATATTGCTGACAACAAAAAAAGATTATTAAAATTTAATGGACAAGTCAATGAAAAAGATGCTTGAATCTTGTTAGATAATGGTGCATTAAGAAATTTTATTGATGAAAAGTTTGTTCAAAAGATCACATCAAAGCTGAGAAGATATAACAAATTATAGTAAAATTGGCTGATGGCAAGAAAATTATAACTACAATTACAGTCAACATTCAAAATTTAAAATTAAATATATATATCATCTCTGAAATCAATGCTCAAGTTCTCAATTTACAATGTTATAATTTAATACTTAGAAAACTATGACTCTTTCATGCTAATTCAACTATTGACTAGAGAAATAACACTTTGACTTTTAACTATAATGACAAATCTATTAAAGTTACAGCAGACATTGATTCAAATTCACCTAGTTGTAATTCCATCTACATCTCTCATCAACAATTATCCAATTGTTCAAATAATGTTGAATTATTTACTATAAGCTTATTTAATGTTAAAGACAAAGAAAATATATTAATATTAGAAGTATATAAAATAATTCAACAATTCTCAAATGTCTTTCCAAAAGAATTACTAGCAAAACTTTCATCCACAAGAATAATTAATCACAAAATTGATTTAATACCTGGAAGTTAATTACTATTTCATCCAATATATAGATTATTATTTATAGAAATGAATAAATTAAAAATTCAATTAACTAACTTATTGAATAAAGATTTTATTTATCCAAGTATATCACTATTTGGAGTAACAGTTTTATTTGTTCATAAAAAAGAAGAAACTTTAAGACTATGTATTAATTATAGAACTCTTAACAAAATTACTATCAAGAATAAATATTTATTATCTTATATAGATGAATTTATAAATAGATTAGTTAGATTAAAATACTTTATAAAGCTTAATTTATATTCTGGATAGTATCAAATTCATATTGCAAATGAAAATATTTACAAAACTGCATTTAGAACAAAATATAGACACTTTGAATTCTTGGTTCTATCATTTGGATTAACAAATATTTCAGTAACTTTTATGATACTCATGAACAATATCTTTCAAAAATACTTAAATAAATTCATTATTATTTATTTGGATATTTTAATCTATAACAAGACTAAAGAAGAATATTTATAATATTTGAAGACAGTATTAAAAGTATTACAAGAAAACAAATTATATGTCAAGTTAAAGAAATGTGAACTCATCAAACAGTATATTGAATATCTTGATTATTTATTTTAGCAGATGGAATTTTAGTTAATTAACACAAAATTACTATAATAAAAAACTGATCAAAATCAACAAATATATCTGAATTGAGATTATTTCTAGGTTTAGCAAGTTATTATAGCAAATTTGTACAAGACTTTTTAGTAATAGCATTATTATTAATAAAACTTTTATACAAAGATCAAGAATATAATTGGCAAGAAGCAGAACAACAAATTTTTGAATTTTAAAACAACATTTAACTACAGTGTCAATTTTGATATTATCTAATTCAAAATTATCTTTTACAATGATAACTAATGCTTCAGAATATGTTATTAGAGCAGTACTAAGTCAAAATCAAGATAAAGCTAAATAATCAATTGCATATGAGTCAAGAAAACTTATTGTAGCTGAACAAAACTATTCAATTTATGAAAAAGAATTGCTAGCAATCATATATATAATTAAACTTTGAAGATCATATTTGAAAGGTTAAAAATTCACTATAGTAACTGATCATGCTTCACTTGAATATATCAAAACTCAAAGTAACTTATCCAAAAAATAAGCATGCTGATTAGAAACTCTACAAGCCAATAACTTTAATGTAAAATACAAATCTGAAAAAGATAATATAATAATAAATACTTTATCTTGTTAAATATATCTCATTAATATTAGTGCTATTAATATTGAATTAATTAACAAAAATAAATTAATTGAGAAATATAATAAAGAAATTTTGAAAATATTACAGCATTTAGAAGAAGTAATACCAAAAGAGCAAGTAAAAACTTGTCATTTTGAATTAAAAAATAATAAAATTTATTTAAAAAATATATCCAGACTCACTATTTCAAATGATAAAAATTTGAAAGCAAAAATTCTATTTGAATATTATAATATACCAATTATTAGATATATTGAAATTGATAAAATATATACTAATATTAGTCAGTCAAAGATAAATAAAAGCATTCATAAATATGTTATCAATTATAAATTATATCAGTATAAATTAATAATTAAGTGGATTATTATAATCACTCTCAATATCTCAAAACAAATAAAAACAAGTTATAATGAACTTTATAGTGCAACTATCAAAAATCAAACAAGATTATGATTCTATTATTATTTTTGTTGACAAATTTACAAAAAGAGTACACTTTCTTTCAATATATACTACTGTTATAGTACCAAACATTGCAAAAATATTCTTTAATGAAATATTTAGATTATATGAATTATCAAAAACTATTATTTCAGACAGAGATGCCAAATTTATCAGTTAATTTTGAAAATTGTTATTCATCCAATTGGCTATGTCAATCACTTTTTATCTATAAACTAATAGTCAAACTAAAAGCTTAAATAGAACTTTGGAAGAAATTTTTATCATATATAAACAAGATAATTGTGATAATTATTTAGCTGCTGTAGAATTCACTTACAACAATAGTAAACAAATATCCACCCAACATACTTTATTTGAATTAAATTGTGAACAATTATCTTATATATTTATTACTATTAACACTGATAATAAAGTAGTAGCCTCTTAAGAATTTCTAGAATATTGAAATATCATGATAAAAATAGCAAAAGATATATTGATAAAAGCTCAGAACAGATAACAAAAATATACAAATCAACATTACAAATTTAAAGAATTTGAAATTAATCAAAAAGTTCTTTTATTAACTTGCTTTATTAACATACTTATTGATAAACAAAGACAAATAAGAAAGTTAAATGCTAAATATATTAAATTATTTAATATAATTAACAAAATTTTAACAATTGCATATAAATTAAAACTTCTAAACAACATGAAAATACATTCAATTTTTTATATTTTGTTACTAAAATTATATAATAAAGATGATGAATTTAATAGATCAACATCACCACCAGCTATTATTATATTAGATAATAAAAAAGAATATGAAGTTGAAAATATTCTAGATAAGTACATAGTGAGAAAATAACCACAATATCTTGTAAAATAAGCTGGATATTCTTTATATAACTTTACTTGGAAACCTTTAAATAATCTCAAAAATGCAATGAAAAAAGTCAAAGCTTTTGAAAAAGTACATTTTTAATTCAATATAAATATTGTCTTTTAAAAGAGGAATAATTGTAATAATTTTCATATACTCTTGTAATTTCTTTATTATATTCATTATTTTTCATATTATATTTATCATTTTTTGTATAAATTAATACAGATCTATATTTAATATTTCTTAATATTTCATCAAATAAATTAGATATAAAATATAAATCATATTATTAATTTAGATATACCTTGTTTTTAATTCCTTTTTATTTGTTCTTTTTTTTATTTATTATTATTTTAATTTATGTTAATTATTATTTATATTTTATATATATCTAATTAAGTATAGCATAACTTGGAGATGCATTATCTTTAAGATTAATAATTTAGAACCAATCACTCTCTATTTTATTATTAATTTATTTATAATTCATTTAACATCAATTATATATTTAAATATCTTTGTTCTGTACTATACTATAGCTCTTTAAATCTTTTCACTGTTTAATAAATAAAGAAATAAGCTTTATTAAAATTAAAACTGAAAATTATTTTAATTAATATAATTTATTTACACAATTATAAATTTATCTTCATACTTTTCATATAAGAAAGTATTCTTACAGTTTGACTAAAAATTTGTACAAATTGAGTATGAATTTCTTTTTATTCTTCCATTAGATCATCTAGTTATATAGTATTTTAAACCACTCTTTAATATACTGTGATGTAATAACTCTTTTCTGATTAACCTATTCTGATTTATTAAAAATTTATGATATTTTCTAGTATCTTTTTACCTTTTTATTTTATCATGATAGAAGCATATATCTTTTTCTAAGTTATTGTAAAAGTATCCTATAATTCATCTATCTTTTTCAGTCTTAGTAATAACCAAAAATTTTTCAGGATCAAAATCATTTTTAACAGTATATTGATAAAGATATTTGGATTAGTTCTAGAAATCAGTGAAGTATTATTATTAGGTAAATTTTTTTTGGGATATAATGTCTCAGAAATTTCAGTCATATGATCCATTACTGGAGGTATTTTTTCAAAAGATATTTCATAATTTATATCTTTTGAATTTGCTCATTAGTAAGCTCTAAAATAAAAGTTGCACTATAGAATTTAATATATCTAATTTTATTTATGTCCACTTGTTCAAAAAATTTATATACTTTTTCAGCTCTCTGAGTTTTCTTGCGTAAACTATCTTGTAATGTATCTCGAAGTTGTAACTCTAATTCTTGAGATCTTTGTTTGCGAATTAAATTAAGCTGTTTTGTAATTGAATCATACAACAAACTTCTTGTCTTCTTTTTATCAAATTTACCTTCACTATTTTCTATAATTCCATTGAGCTGAATTCTAAAATCCTTTGCATAGAGACACCAACATAAAATTTCTTCCTGATTAGCTCTATTTGCTTTATCTTTAGCATCAAAAGCCTTATTACATAACTGGGCTAAATGTTGTAATGCCTCATCAATGCTAGATATGTTTCTGGTGTGAACAATTCATGTTTAAGCTTGTCTAATTCCTTACCTTTTTTATGATCCACTCCCGTTTTCTTATGTATCTTACCAGCTTTATCTTGGGAAATAATTTCATTATTATCTGAATTAGAAGATTCTGGAATATTTGTAGCTGATGCTTCGGATATTGCGCTATTGCATGGTTGAGTAACCGAGTTGAGATCTTGAGCTTGAAGTTTCTTTTCCTGATTTCTTTGCTTAATTGCGTCATTAACCTTTTTCTTATGCACCTCATTCAAGAAAGCATCCATTTTCTTATCTTCTGATGACTTGTTGTTAGTATTATCACTAGGTGCATTATCACAGGTAGCTCTTCCAACTTTATTATTAAGATTCTACTACGGAATCAGATACATCAACAACTGATACCGTTAGGCAGTCATAATAAATTCGTGATCGATCACACTAATCAATCAGACTATTTTTTTAATGCAAATGATATCATATGCGTCATCAATACAGAATGATTAGAGTTTGTACAACCAAATCTCATATATACCCATAGCGTCCAACAAATCCACCAAAAATCATATATAGTTAAATGTCTATCACTTTATTCTGTCTTGTCAAAGGACACACGTCCACGAACGCTTTCTCTGTTAAAATAAATAAGGATGAGCTTATTAGTGAGCTGAAAAAACTTATCAAGGTGGAAAAGCAGAATGATTTCGCTGGTATTGACGCCGAAAAACTCAAGCTGTGGATGGTGGAAATCCCAGCCGATTGCAATGACCCTATTCAAGGACAACCTCAACTTTTACAAGATAACGACCAGTTAAAGGCAACAGACTATATCGATGATTACTGGACTGCCACCCCAAAAAGAAGGCACATCCATGTAATCGTTGAGGTCCCTACTGGTAATTAATTATCCTAGCTTTTCTTGCTTACTGCTCACGCCACACATTAAATTCCCTCACTGTCGTTGTATTTTGGTATACTTGTGCTTTTTTTTCTCTTCTGACCAATTTTCTAAACCTATACTGCTTTCTCCGCAATAATTTCATTTATTAACTTGTGCCTCGCTAATACTAGAATTCAAGAAAAAAAGAAAGGCAGAGGATGAACGTAAGATAATACAGAGTTGGCTTTGCTTTGTATCATACTCATTCTTACTAATTTTTGTTCGATCAGCTGTGATTACAGCACCGAAAAAAAGAAAATGGATGGTAAATAGTGCCATTACGCGAGAAGAGCGTCCTATTGTTTATTTCGTGGACCCGACAGAGCAGAATGCACCACTTCTTGAATCAGTACATCGAGGTGAATTCATAGCATTACATGGATCACGAGCCTCTGGAAAGTCTACACGGGTGCTCCAACTTCAGGACCAGTTAAATAAAAAAGGCTTTGTTTGCATATAGTAAGTTATTTCTCGCTTAATAGTGTGTTCATGCTAGTTCACCACTCATAATGTAATCAAACTCTCTTTATTTTCTCGATTATCATTTCTCCTGGATAGCGCATCTTTTGAACATGTCAACTTAGAAAATAGTGTAGACGTTTTCTGGCAAACACTCGGCATGGCACTTCAGTGTGATGCACCTAAACTTTTTGGCCCTCTGAAAAACCTATCAATTAAATCTGCAACCGATTTTCTTAGCACTTTTCATAGAACCCAATGGAAGTTTTCGGATACTGTCATTCTGATCGACGAGTTTGACAAATTATATAGAGCGAATGATAATGTTAAATCCTCATGTCTAGGAACTCTTCGTGGCATTAAGGCAACAAAGGGAAATTATGCTATTCGGTCTGTTGTTACCATAGGAACCTTTAGCATCCTGTATCTAAGCTCGAATAATTTGACTACGTCACCATTTAATGTTAATGAGCCGTTTCAGAATCCAAACTTTACTTTGGAACAAGTGCAGTTCCTATACGAACAGTTTGCGGAAGAGTACAACCTAATCATTGACAAGGAGATTGTCGAGGATATATATATACAAACAAACGGGTAAGTGACAAGAGTTATGTTAGAATATCTTTACAACGATTTTAATCCTATTTTATTTTATTTTATTTTATAACAGACATGCTGGTCTTGTCTGCTTTTGCGGACGTGCGATCTTTAGAAAATTATATTCAAAACTAAAAATAGTAAATGGAAAATTGCATGTTAGTTTTGACATATGGGAACACTTTAGCATGATGTCGTTGGATGACGAGATAATAGAGTACCAAACATTTATAAGGATGAAGGATGCCCTTCTAATAGATGATCGTGATACTAAGAGTGCTGTGAGTCTTTTCCGATCCGATTTTCTGGCGAGTTTCGGCCCTATATACGTCGCTGAAAAACAAAGGGATTTGGCTCGGTTCCTTACAGCTGAAGGAGTTCTGATTCCTGGAAATGTTTCTGGGACGTTCGAGGTTTCCTCGCCATTGGTACGCTGGTTGATCCTTCAGCGAATAATTCCCCGCCTGTTTCCGACTTCACCTCAAATGGAAGTCCCCTACCATTCTTCTCCACGTACTCTGGACACATTTAATGTTTTAAAGCAGACAGTCCGTGTATTCGACAAAGAAATTATAAAGTCACTCCGTTCTTTTAAGGTTGCTCATGTGCTGGTGAACAATGCCAAAAATGAAAGAGTTCCCAGAGAATCAGTGTATGATACAGAGCTTAACCGGATCATGACGAATTGGCTTGGTGGATTTATGATAACGGGACAATGGCACCTAAAATATCGTGCCAGTGGACACATGAATAATAAATATGTCGACATAGTTATATCACGACCTGGTCATCCAACAATTGCCCTTGAACTTTTAGCTACAGCGACAAAAAAAGAGCTCGAGGAACACTATGAACGGGCACTCCTATACGACAAGAAATTACCTGCAGATGAAATGTGGATTATTCATTTCACATGTGAAGAAAACGCTATTTTGGAACCTTTCTGGCCCACCAAATCTCAATTGCAAAGGGGTCTTCGAGTAGTATACCTTTGGCATGACCTCGAATTTACAAAAATCCGTATTATTGCATGTTGGTGGGATGTGGATAATAATAAGAAGCGCGTTACTGACGTTGAGGAATTTATGGTACGTTCTATTACAAATATTTCTTTGATTGCTTGCATTTATTGTTTCTAACTACCTTTACTTGATTACAGGTTTCGTAAGTTAGAATATAACAATTAGGATTAGAATGTCAGTTGTATTTGTTTTTCGTCCCTAAGTTATATGATAAATGTAAAGAATGTACGTAGTATGCATTTGCAATTATAAATCAATAATAAAGCTGGCCCTCGTGGCCGATTTCGCATACATAAATATGTTTACTTTTGCATATGTATTTCGGGATTTTATTACATTATATATATGATCGAGAATTTTTTCTTGGCTAAGTGATCAGCGTGATTTTTTATTACGTATATAATCTCAGATCGAAGTTTTAAATAAATTTGCTTTTTATATAAAACTGTTGATACCCAGTCATGTCGTCAGAATTAAATTATTGAAACAACGAATCATTGTGCTTGAGACCGAGAATGCCAAGATTACATCAGAGAATGTGAAGTTAAAAACAGATTATCGAAGAAAATGCCAGACGCGAAGCTGAGAATGCTGAAGTCAAGGTGGATCTAGAGAAAAATAAAACGGATACCGCCAATCTCATTGCTGAGAATGCTGAACTTAGAGATAGAGCCACGAAATTGGAACAGAAACAGACACAAAACAACATTTCTTCTAATACCCAGTCGCCTAAGTCTAAATCATTAGAAGATAAAGAGATTGATGTATTCCAGAAGCCCTGTAAAAAAAAATAAAAGACAAAAATCCGGTTTTTTAGTTCCAGAAAATCACAAGTTTTGTTAACAAATTTCCGGATTAAAATCTGATAAAAATCTGATTAAAAATCCGGAAACTTTGGG